ATATTCTCATCTGTTTAGTTTGGCTACAGCATGCAAATAGGAAGTTTTAGAAGCTTATGATTAGAATTAAATATTAAATAAAATTTTAAAACTCCACTCAGTGTAGCTAAGAATGGTTTGTATGTGCAAGGAAAATTAAGAGGTCAGGAGCTCAATTGACTCTCTTGCAGCTGTTAGTGTTATGGTGACATCCTTCTAAACCTTCACCTAGAGGAAAAACTTTTTACCAGCAATATATTTTCTGGCAAAATGCTAAAGAATGCATGTAGAAAGCATTTGGAAAAATTAAGAGCCTTTAGGTAAAAGAGTCCACTGTAATTATTCTTTAGCATTGTCTCTGAAAAGAATTTTGTAAGAAAAGTGTTTCACAATGAATTGTGTTTGTCTAATATATTAGTAGAATTTTCCAATGACTCATATGTAATTGTCACGATTCCTTGGACAGGTCAGGGTGATGGGTGTGTAACTCACTTTGCTGGCCAATGAAAATAACTAGTTAAAAAGGAAAAATGTTTACGGGTGTAGCCTGGGCTTTGTTTTCCTGATGCAGTCACCATTGTGACAGATTACATAGATTCAATCATCACTGTGCTGGGTTCATTTATATTTGTAGTCATGTATCTATTTTGTCCTTCTCACTTAGTTTCTTGCAGATAGACGTGCCATCCCCATCTCAGGCAATGAGATGGACATGAAAGAGGTGCATGCAGCTTTCAGTACTGCTATTTAAGAGAAGAGCTGTTGAAAGGAACAGCTCAGTGCTATAGCCAAGTGGTACAGCTCCGGGTCAAGGCCATGGCAAATTGAAGACTTGAGAATCTGATGGTCGCTCGAAGAGGGAGAAAAGCCTTTATTAGGCTCACAGGAAAAGCCTTTATTAGGCAGGCTCACAGGAGTTCATACCTGTCGTCTGAGCACCCTACCAGAAATGAGAACCTCCTTATATAGGGATCTGCAGGGTAGGTGAGCGTGCTCACTGACGCAGAGGGGCAGAGTCACAGAACATTCTCCTAACTGGGCAGGGCTTAACAGAACGTTCTTGTAAGTGGGTGGAGCTAACAACATATCTGAGGGGCAGGGTTGACAACATTCCTGAGGGCAGGAAGTTCAAACAAAACATTTTTGTACTTTGGGTGGGAGCACAAACATATTTCTGGAACAAAACATTGTGTGGAAAAAAACAGAAGCATGAAGACAGGTAAGGACCTGACATTGTATAGTATTGCTCTTAACTGTGACTTTGTTGTCTTTTCCTTCCTTCTGCAGGCTAGAATGTAGACAGAGGTAAGCAGCCATCATGCATCAAGACGTGATGTGGGGATTGGATTAGTTGTCTATAGCTGCATAACAAATCATTCCATAATTGAGCAGCTTAAAACAAACATTATTGTGCAGTTTCTGTGGTCAGGAATTCAGGAATGGCTTATTTGGGTGGTCGTGGCTCAGAGTCTATCCTGAGGGTGAGGTCAAATTATTGACTAGGATGGAAATCAATTGAAGGCCCAAAAGGGCTGGAGGATCTTTGTCCAAAGTGTTACATGACTGTTGGCAGGTGGCATCAATTTTGTGCTGGCCATTGGCAACAGGCTTTAGTTCCTCACCACTTTAATATCTCCGTAAGGCTGCTTAAGTGTTTGCATTACACGTCAGCTGGTTTCTCTTAGAATGAGTGTCTAATGGAGATCCAGGAGGAAGCCACAACGTTTTTCATGGCTTAGCTTTGCAAGTATCACACTATCACTCTTACTGTATTCTATTCATTAGAAGTAGCTCACTGAATCCAACCAACACATCAAGGGATGGGAAAAGATGCCACATCTTGAAGGGAGGAGCATTGTGGACAAAATCATTGTCCTCCAAACATATCCACACCCTAATTCCAGGAATCTCAATATGTTACCATACCTGGAATTACTGCTGTCCTTAATGATCTTGAGATAAATTATCCTGGGTTGTCAGAGTAGGCTCAAGCTAATCACAAATACCCTTATGGGTCAGAGTGAGTGAGAGTCACAGTAGGAAATGTGACAACAAAAACAGGTCAGAGTGATATGACCATAAGTTAAGGAATACATATAGCTTGTAAAGTTGGAAAAAAAAAAAGAATTGATTCCTTTCTACACCTTCCAGAAGGATTTCAGCTTTGACTTTTAGCTCCATATGGCCTATGGACTTCTGATGTCCAGAAATGTGAGCTAATAAATTTGTTCTGTTTAAGCCCCCGAGTTTGTGGTTACTTTTTATAAGAGTAAATACTTTTTGCCAGCATCTGATTTATTTATTTCATACATCTTTATCATGTTATCTTTTATTTTTGTAAACACTCCAATCTTTCTCTTCCCTACTTTTCTCCTCCTCACTCATGCTTTCCTTTGCTGATGACATAAGTAAGATTATATATAGATTATATAGAAAAATAAAAAATTTGCCCCACTCCCCCCAAACTCTTAGAAGTAATAATTGAACTTAGTAAAGTTGCTGGGTACAAAGTTTTAAAAAAGTAGCATTTCTATATGCTAACAATAAACTATTCAAAACATAAATTAAGAAAACAATGTATAAGTAGGAAAAGCAAAAATCACAAGAGTCTTAGGTATAAATCTAATCAAGGAAGTAAAGCTCTGCATACTGAAAACTATAAAATATTGATGAAATAAGTTGAACAAAGCACAAACAAATGGCAAGATAGTCCGTGTTTGTGAATTGGACTTTTTTTTTTTTTTTTTTTTTTTTTTTGTGGTGGTACTGGGGATCAAACTCAGGTCCTTGAGCTTGTGAGGCAGGCACTGGAACCTCTGAGCTAAATCCCTGGCCCAGAAAAAAAAAATTGTTTTGAGACAGTATCTCAATATGTTGTTCAGGCCAGCCTTGATCTCACTATGTAGCCCAGGCTTGCCTCAAACTCAAAGTGATCCTCCTCCTGCCTTAGGGTCCTAAGTGCTAAGATTATAGTTGTGCACCACCATATGCACCTGGAGGAATATTGTTAAAACGATCACACTATTCAAAAACAATCTACAGATTCAGTATAATACCTATCAAAATTTCACTTTCATTTTCACTGAAAAAACAATCCTAAAAATTGTATGGAACCAGAAAAGATCCCAAAAGCCAGATTGATTTAATCTGGAGTAAAAAGAATAAATCTGGAGGCAGCACACTACCTGACTTCAAAATATAATACAAAACCATTGTATCGGTATTAAAATAGGACATAGTCCAGAAATAAATCCATGCATTTTCAGACTACTGATTTTCAGTGAGCAGCCAGGAGCACACAATGGGGAAATGAAAGTTTCTCAATAAATGGTGTGAAGAAAACTGGATATCCACTTGCAGAATTCCATGAGGAATGTAATCTGTGGACTGCTGAATGTGTACCACCCCAAAAGAGGAGAAAACCTATAGAATGGGAGAAAACGTGTAAACCATACATCGGATCAGGGTTCATATGCAAAATATACATATAAGGAACCCAAACAAAAGCAAAAAAAAACCCTCAATTAAAAATGGACAAAGGATCTCAATAGACATTTCCAAAATACGACATGCAAATGGACAATAGGGTATGAAAGAATGTTTAATGTATTTATTACTCCGGCGGAAAATGCAGATTTTCCTCGAAATATCACTTCATGTTGGTTAGAATGGCTAACATAAAGAAGAATAAGTGTGAAGATATGGAGAAAAGGGAACCCTTGAACACTGTGGGTTGGAATGTGGGGTAATAAAGTCATTATGGAAACAACATGGAAGCTCCTCAAAAGACTAGAAATGGAGGCACCATATGATCCAGCAGTCAGCTGAAGGAATAAAATCAGTATAATCAATAAACATCTGCACACAGATTTGTGGCTGCACTATTTATAATAGCCAAGATAAGGAATCAACCTAAGTGTTCATTAATGGATGGATGGATAGGGGGGAAATCCCGCAGTATGTGACTACATGCAGGAACATGATGGATACTTTACTCGGTGACATAAAGCAGCACAGAAAGACAAAAGCCATACAAGTAGAGAGTAGAACGTTGGTTGCCAAACACAAAGGCTGGGCACTGGGTCTGGTAGGTATGGGAAACGCTGTTGAAAAGTACAAAGTTTCAGGAATAAATTTCAAAATTTCTTGTACAGCACATAGTTAATGATAACATACTGTATATTTTGAAATTGCTGAGAGTAAATTTCTGGTGTTTCAACCCTCCAAAAGGTAAGTGAGGCCATGGATATGTTAATAAGCTTCATTTAATCATTCCATAGTGTGTAAACATATTAAAGCATCACATTTTACCTCATAAATATATACAGTTGTGAGTTCATTTATAAATACTAAAATAAAAGAACTGAAAGTTTACAAGGCAGGGGTTTAAGATATAAATGAGCTGATAATATCGTTAAAGGAAAATAAATATTGCAATATTTATTAAACACTACATATACATTAAATTCTTACAACCCTGGAAAAATGAGAAAACTGACTCAGAAAACATTAAGTCACTTGCTCAATGTTAATAAAGATAGAATATGAATTGCATCAATCCATCTCTAAAGCCTGTGCTATTCCTCTCAATATAAATTATGGAGAATTCAGGTTTTATTAATCCACATGAAAAATTTACTGATGTGCTTATTTTAAAAGATGGCCTTAAAAGATTTTAAGTTCTCTGCTTTTTTTGGGGGGGTAATATTTTCAAAATGTTTTTCACTTGACAGAACATTTAAAAGTTTAGCGCAGTGTGGCCTAAAAGTGATCAATTTCACTGTATTGGACTTATACAACTTTTAGGGACATAATAGTTGAGAAAAGCTAGGAAATATCACTTCGTGTCTTCTTTTGCCAACAGTATTTCACCTGCAGGACAGATTTAGTTAATGAAACAATCCACAAAGTGTATCTCATTCAAAAGAGCGTTAGTACTCTGACGGGCAGCCTGGGTTTATTTTCAGGAAAAAATTGTGACGAAAGGTCGCAGAGTTCTTCTCCTTTATTGAGGGGGCAGAAAACAAGAAGCTTGAAATGCCTTAGAAGAACAGGCGGGCGCAGATCCTCACAGGATGGATAGAAAACGCTGAAGTGGGGTCTGGCTACGGCGGGGCATAGTTTCAGAGAACAAAAGAGAGCTACAGGAAGGAGCTGGTAGGGCAGAGGGGGAAATCCAGACTGCGGCTGTGGGGAGGACAGAGCGCAAAGGCACCCACGTCTAGGGCCCGCTCCGTCAGGGCCCGGGGAGGTCACAGGTACTTTTGAGGTGGGCAGCACCGCTTTCCAGTCGGCGCCTAGTTGGCGGGGAACCGAGCCGCCGTCCAGTATCCAGGGCTGAGGCAGCGCTCAGCACACCCACCCAATGGGCTCCTTGGTGGGCGGAGCGTTGGGTTTAGTCAGGTGACCTCGGCCTAGGGGCCGCGCCTCGGAGGAGCTTGGGAAGGCGGCAGGGAAGTCTTTATCTTGGTGGAGGCCTGAATTGTCAGGGCAGGGACCAGCGGCTTAGGCAATCACGGGGCAGCCCGAGGGGCCCAGGCGGTTGGTTGGTGGGACTCTGAGAGGCCGCAGAGGGAAAGACGAGACTTGCTGAGGGGATGACAGAACCTGGAAAGCTGAGGGAGGAGAATGCGAAGTGGTTCTAGAGTGAAGCGCAGAATTAATGGAACTTGCTGAAGGAAGGTTCAGGAGGGTAACAGTGAGGGGCCGGAATGATGGGATCACTGATGGTGTGCCCCTCAGAAATGGTGGTGGTTCTATAAGGGCGGCTGACATAGTGGTTGGAGACTTCTCCGTTCCTTCAGCATAGGTCTCTAGCGGCTTATTTTCATTTTAAGGACGATTTACTTGTTTACATGTCTACTTCCTTCCCAGAGTTCTTCGCCTCGTGAATGCATGGCTGGGAATCTTCATAGCCTAAGTTCTTTCGTGAGGTGGAGTTTCACTCAGTATTTGTTAGATGTAGTATATGGGAGAGATTAATGTTTGAACGTTCATTAATGGCAGTAGATGCAGTGGAGTTGTGTTCTGCAGTTATTAATGGATATTTGCAAGGGAAAAGGGGATAGCTTGAGGAGAAAGTAGGGTATGAACTGAAATAGGGGAAACTACTGTAGGAAGAGAAATCCTACATAGACGCTCTTCAGTGAAGGTGCCACTATTTTTGTCATAAACCCCTATGACTTAATTTTTCCTTTAGCTGCTACCTCATTTCTCTTTCCTTTTACCTAAGACTCCTTCAAAGAGTGTTCCTTTAGCTTTCTCCAGTTTCTTTTCCTGTTCTCATTCTGAGGACATCTTGCTATACCTACCACCCAAGTGGCTCCTCCTAGCGTTGTGGGTTTCCTCTACCTTGAAAAACCTAATGAGTCACTTAGCACTTGTCTTTACGTAAGGCTCCTTTTTACCACTATTGGTTACTCACTTTGAAGTACTTTCTTCCAAGACATCCAAGAACCTGGACCCACCTGATTTTCCACCTCACAGTAACTAGCGTGTTTCAGATAGGACTTCTGATCTTGTCACCCTCTGCTTAGAACTCTTCAATGCTTTCCCTTTGAGCATTCAAGCTAACATTAATATCTAGGGGCTTTCTGTTATCTTCCTCCTTTGTTTAACCTCTCAGATCTCCTTTCCTCCTCTTTTCTTTGTTCTCTGTCCTTAAGCTTTCTGTGCCTTTCACTGCTTCTTGAACATTCAGACTCCGCCTTGCCACAGGGCTTTTTGCACTTGCACTTTTGGTTAAAATTTCTTCTTTAAAATATTCATGGGCTCCCTACTTGAATTCCTTTAGGTCTGTATTCAAAAGTCTCTCAGTTAAGTGTTCCTTTGCCACCGTTTCCTGCATTTCCTGCATTTGTTTCTCTATACCACATTTCAGATTTCCCTCTCCCTCTTTTCCTTAGTATTTATGACAGATAGTATGCAGTATATTTTACTCTTTTCTCCTTTTGCTCTTGGACTAAAATATAAACTCCATGGCACCCCCCTCATTTTGTATGCTGCTCTATTCCCAGACTGTGGGAAAGAACCTAGCATATAAGAATGCAGTAAATCTATGTTGATAGAGGGATAGAGGGATGAACAGACAGATGACTGGAGAATTCCCAGCCATTAGTTCCTTTCATTTCTCTCCTTTTATTTTTTTCCTTTATTACATGTATATAATACCATTATGCTTGGTACTATGAGAAATCAAAAAATAAGTTACCAGTTACAGGTCCTTAGAAATTTAGGTTGCAGTTGATTAAAGAGATATACTTGTGAAAATTAAATACAAATCAAGTGATTAATATGTTTGAATAGTGAAGACAACATTAGTGACAGTATGTGCTAAGGTAAGTGGTTTAGAGGTAAAAAATGAACTGGTTAGAGAATATCTAGAAGTTATATACAGTGAGTTCTGGAGGAATCTGTATTGATTTCTAATATCTGTTTGTGATGGGAATTGTTGTGTAGTTTTTATTATCTTTTAAAACATATTTTGGGTTCCAGAGATGGTAGACATATCACGTTCAAAAGTAACTACTATAACATATTTCAGAAATATGAATGATTTTAAAGTACCATCTCTATTGGATGCAGTATTAATACTTCATAATATGAAAAACTGATAGTTGCAACTAGAATTGCCATATAATGTAACAATTAACGGTAATAAATCAACTAATGTGTCTTAGATATGAGTAATGACATGAAAAAAATTTGGGAATTTCTAAAGCATTGGTGGTTATATATGTGTAATTGTGAAAGGTAAAGCCAGGCTAAAACATCATTTGCAATAGTATTGTTTTGAGAGGCAGTGTTGTGTAGTGCCAAAGACTGTGGACTTTGAAGTTAAATTGCCTGAATTCTAATTTTGATTCTGCTATTTTCCGTGGAACTTTATATCTCCAAATCTTTATTTTTATCATCTGTAAACTAAGGATGGCAACTTTTAAGGATACCTGTGAGGAATAAATGAAATAATTCATGTTGAATGATATGTTTAGCACATCATAGTAAGCATTCAGTAATATGGTGACTGTTGTTTCAGCAGTTCTGATTATTAGGGCTCACTTGATTAAATAAATATTATTGGATTTTTCTGTTTTTTTAATGCCATTTGAGATGCATTTCTATTTCTTAATCACAAAACACAAAGTTTAAAGCTTTGAATGATCACTTATGATTTATGATCTACTAACTGCTCTTTGTAGCTTTTGTCCGCATATTTGTGTGGGTGAAATTTATTAGATACTATACCCTAAGTGAGTATTACATTGAAGTGATAAATTCAGGTAGGTAAATAGAATTACTTAAGTCTCCTAAATAGGAATACGATTATTTTCTTTCTGTTTTCTGCTTTCTCACAGGAAATCCTTTTGTATTATTGCTCATTTGCATTTGTTCATCAAGGTCTTTTGAGTCCTGAAGGGCAGAAATTCTCTCTAAACAGAAAGATGGAAACTAAAGCCCATTTATTCTTCCAGGTATTTATTCAAGACAATTTTTAAGGATTCCCCCTCTCCTTTTCAAAATTTGTTTACGTTATCAGACATCCATGGTCATTAAGTAAATGGAGAGCATGAGAAAGTCCTGAGGAACCTGCCTAACAACTCAGAGACTTTCGAGCTCTTTTAGTGGACATGTGTTGGACTGTCAGTTAGCAACCCGCATAGTACTGTACTCAGAAAGCTTCTGTTGTGTATGATGAGAATATGTTTCTGGGATGGGGACTTGGATAATTTTTCAGGAGATCAAGGGATTTAAACTGTCTTCCAAAGTGGCTGTACCATTTGTACATTTCCCACCAACAATGAATGAGTTCCTTTTGTTCATGTCTTTGTTTGCCTTTGCTGATGTTAGTGTTTTAGATTTTATCCATTCTTTTTTGTTATTGTGGAATTTAAAAACTGATCAATAATAATTGTGTATATTTATGGGCTACAGTGTAATTTTTCATCCATGTATATGTTATTGAATAACTCAAACTAACATTTCCATCACCTCATTAACTTTTTTTGGTATAATGGTGTTAAAATATATTCTTTTAGCATTTTGAAATATGAAATAGGTTCTTCTTCTTATTATTTTGTAGTACTGGGGATTGAACCCAGGAAGTTCTGAGTTATACCCCTACCTTTTTTTAAAAAAGTTTTTGAGACAGTGTCTCACAGAGTTACCAATGCTGGCCTTGAACTTGTGATTCTCCTGCTTCCGTCTACAAGTACTTGGAATTACAGGCATGTACCACCATGCCTGGCTACAATACATTATTAACAACTCTTGTCACCACGCAGTACAGTAAATCTTCCTCCACTCTACCTGAAACTTTGTACCCTTTGATCAACATCTTCCCTTCCCCTGTCCCTCCTGCTCCCTGCCAGCCTCTGGTAAATATATTTCTACTGTGTTTCTAAGAGATCAACATTTTTAGAGTCCATATATAAAGGAGATTATATAGTATTTATCTTCCTGTGTCTGGCTTATTTCATGTAGCATAGTGTCCTTCAGTTCTACCCATGTAGTATATGACACAGTTTCTTCCTTTTAAAGTTTGTATAGTATTCCATTATGTCTATATTCTTCATCCATTTATCCATTGACAAACATTTAGGATGATTCTACTGTATATCTTGACTGTTGTGAATAATGCTAAAAGGAACACAGGAGTACAGATATCTCTTTGACATACTGATTTTAATTCCTCTGGATTTATACCCAGAAGTGGGATTACTCAATTATGTGGTAATTCTATTTTTAGCTTTTTGAGGAATCTCCTTCCTGTTTTCCAAACTGGCTATGCTAATTTATTTTTCCTGCAACAGTGTACAAGGGTTTCCTTTTCTCTATATCCTTGCCAATACTTATTATCTTTCATCTTTTTGACAGTAGCTATTCCGCCAGCTATGAGGTGATGCCTCACTGTTTGAGTTTGCACTTCCCTAATGATTAGAGATATTGATCATTCTTTAAAAAAACTATTAACTATTTTTGTGTATCCTTTTGAGAATTATCTATCCAGATTCATTGCCCCTTTTAAAATTCAGTTATTTTCTTGCTATTGAGTTAAGTACATATTATTTTAGATATATGTTTTGGATGTCAGTCCTTGTCAGATCTATGGTTTGCAAATATTTTTTCCTACTCTGTGGATTGTCTTTTCTGTCTGTTAATTTTTTCCTTTGCTGTACAGAGTTTTAGTTGATGCAGTCCTAATAGTCATTTTTCTCTTATATGTTTGTTGAAAACCAGTTTACCCTAAATACTTGGGTTATTTTGGGTTTTCTGTGTCAGTTGGTTGATGTATCTGTTTTAATGCCAATACTATGCTGTTTTGATTATAATACTTTTATGATATATTTTGAAATCAGCAAATGTCTCTAGCTTTGTTATTTTTATTCTAGATTGCTTTAGCTGTTTGGGGTCTTTTCTGATGCCATACAAATATTAGGATTGCTTTTTCTATTTTTGTGAAAAATGATATTGGAATTCTGATAGGAGTTGGAGCAAATGTATACATTACTTTGAATAGTATGAACATTTTAACAATATAAATTATTCTAATTCATGAACATAGTATAGGTTTCCATTTCTTTGTGTCTTTTTCAATTGCTTTTATCAATGTTTCATAGCTTTCTTTGTTCTCATATTTTTTTCTTATTGAGTTTATCGGTACTTTTCAAGTATACAGTACAGTTACATTTATCATTGGGACCTTGTACCTTTACGGGATAGATCTTGGTTCTCATTTTTTTCCCTTACCCCTGCCCTCCCTTCACCTCCCCCCTCCCCTATTTACAAAGACTTTGTTTCCATTTTTTCCTTTACTCATATTTTTCTTTTCCCTTATTTCCTTTCCCCTACCCTTTCTCATAGTTGTCTTTGTTGTATTTTCACCATTCTGACAGTTGTGTATCTTGTTTTAATTTGCAATTTTAATTTGCAATAATGATGCTTGATGTTAAATATCCTTTTATATGCTTTTTTGCCATCTATGTACAATATTTGGTAAAGAGTTCAGATCTTTGACCTATTTTTTAAAAATTAGGTTGCTCTTTTTCTTTTTATATATATATGTGTGTGTGTGTGTGTGTGTGTGTGTGTATATATATATATATATTGTTGTTGTTGTTGTTTGTTTTTTTTGTTTTGTTTTGTTTTTTTGAGACAGGGATTCACTATGTGGTTGAGACTGACCTGGAACTCACTATGTAGCTCAGGCTGGTCTCGAACTCACAGCAATCCTCCTGCCTCAGCCTCCCGAGTGCTGGGATTACAGACGTGTGCCACCATGTCCGGCTTTTACTTTTATATTTTAAGAGTTCTTTGCATGTTTTTTATTGCAGTGATTTATCAGTTCTGTCCTGTGCAAATATTTTCTCCCTGTGGCTTGAACACTCATTCTTTTGATAGGGCTTTTCACAGACCAGAAGTTGTAAATTTTGAGTTGGGCCAGGGATTAGCTCAGTGGTTCTGCTGCCTGCCTCACAAGTGCAAGGACCCAAGTTCAATCCAAAACAAAAAAAATTTTTTAAAAATTGAGTTTAGCTTGTCAGTTATTTCTTTCATATATCATGACTTTAGTTTTAATCTAAGATATATTTAATTTTGATAAAAATTATTGTTTTGTAAAGCATGTGGTGAACTTTTGCAGCTAATGCTTTAAAAACTCGATTCAGATATTGTTAGCCACATTCATGAATGCCATGCATTTTATAAATGCATAATGCATTAAGAAAAACTGATATTTATATTATGTACTTAATCTGGGGCAATAACCACTAGTGAATAAAATCCCTTTCAACAAAATTCCCTTTGTGGCACTATTTTAAAAGGAAATTGATCTAAAATGAATTACCTGGCACAGAATGTTGTATTTAATGTACATGTCTAAGGAGAATAAGAATGATTGTATTTCTATTGTTGCCAAGAAGAAGAAAACACTGACTTTTCAGATAAGGGATCTAATTCTTTCAGAACCGTCTTGCCATCAAGAAATGCTGCATACAAGAACTACATCAAATTTTCTAAAACAACAGAGAAGAAAAATTTACCTGAAATTAAGGATTTGAGCCCAGAACATATGACAAAGTAAGTTAAAAGCTCTGAACTTATTGAGTTATGCTTTTGCAAATTTAAGAGTGCCTAAAATATAGATGATGTGATCTCATAATGTACAGCATGTACAGGACCATACATCGATGTGGCCATTCTATTAGGAACATAGTTTAACTCTTCAGTAGCCATTCTTACACTTTATCTCATTGCTACATAGAATCCTATAAGCTATCATGGGATTCCAAGGAAAGGAAAGCAATTAACCATGTATATGTAAGTTTGTCTTAAAAAGAATTTAGGAAAATTCTCCAACTTGGCCTGGGTTTGTGGTTTCCATGAAATTAAACTACTTAAACATTTTGATAGTTCTTTCTTGTATATCACCTGGTTGCTTTTGTTAGTTATAAAAGAAGCTCTAGCATTTCATATATGCCTAGGATAAATTCTCAATTTTTATTTTTGATATTTATAAGAGTCTGAAAAAAGCTTACTGGAAAAAGAAAGCCTTTGAGAAAACATTCAGGGCTTATCTCACTTTATCTTTTTCCAGCTATATGCTAGCCTTACTAGTTGGTAAAGTTGGAAATCACCTGTGTGTTATAGTTGAAGTGGCACTTAGATTGAAATCTTTTCTATTTATCATGAGTTTGTGTTTTTATTTTATTTAACTTAACATTTCCAGTACTGCTTCTGTTTGTTAAATGACAAAAAGCAAGGCAATTATTTCTAAAAGACAGCAATAAAATTTGTAATCTAGGAACCAGTGGAAGGTGTCAGGAGTGTCCTTTACCTTTCATTTGAATCGATAAAAATCGGTCAGTACCTTGGGAGACACATGGCCCAAAGGAATGGGATACAGGACTAGTTTTTTTTTTTTTTTTTTTTTTTGGTACCAGGGATGAAACTCAGGACTTTGCACTTGTAAGGTGGGTGGTAGAACCAGTGAGCTACATCCCTAGCCCCCAGGACTAGTATTTTTAACTTACTCATTACTGATACCAAATAATCCTTATTACATCAAGTGTTTGAAGCAGCTCAAAATTTTAAGGCACACTTACACTTTTTTTAAAAGAAATAAAATTTCCAAAACCATGCAGTGGAGTGGAACCCATTATTTAACCAGAAATAGGAAGCCTCAATTTCAGTAGGGATAGACAGGGAGAGGGTAGAGTAGGTAAAGTAGCAGCCAACTTTAGGTTGTGTCCCATTAAGGGGTCATAAAATCAGTTTACAAGGTAATTCCTAGTTTTTTTTGAAGGAAATAGATTAAGATAGAATTAAAGACATTAGAAGAGTGTTTTTCAAATAAGTATTGTTTTTGAAGTAGTTTCTGTTATTATATTTTCTCTTTCTTTCTGTCTGTCACATCTGCCCGTAACCTCCTTTCCTTTGTCCTCTCTCTGTCTGCTTCCCCACTCTGTACAATAGAAAATATATTTTAGTCTGTGGGTCATAGTCAAAATTATTGAAAGTGATTGCCTTTGTGCCTGAAGGACTATAAAGGGAACTAATCATAGAGCAGCTTTAGGGGGGCCTAGAGTAAGATAAGGGCAGGAATTTGGGGGCTTCTATTTGAAAGGGATACAGTATCAAAACAACAGGGTGTCTGCCAAGAAAGGGGTCTGGGGTATATGATAAAAATTTCCCTTATTTCACAATTTGGGTTGGGGCTTAAAGCTGTTTTATATATATATATATATATATATATGATCTAGTCATTATCTCTGATATATTACCTAAGCAGTTTTTACATAGAAGATTGCTCTAAAAGGAGGCATTTTTGCTAAAGAACTTTTATAAATGATAATAAGGTATTACTCTAAAATATTAATTACCATCCCATTGATGTACATGCATTCTGGATTGCAATAAACCATAGTGATTCCTAACTCATCTGCATGTTAGAATTACCTGGGTATTTTTAAAAAACCTCTAAATATTTGGCCATACCCCCAAACAATTAAAATACAATGTTTAGGAATAAAACCTAGGTATTAATATGTTTTTGAAGCTCCCCAGTGATTCCAATTCTCAAAGACAAGTTTGGGATCTAATTCATCCCATAATCATTCCTAGTTTACAGGGTCCCAGAAGTGCAGAAATAATTTTAAGTTTGACCTTGAAATTTAGTGTTCTCTGGATTATCTGAAGTAAAGTATGCAATTTCCAAGAGTATAAGCTGCTCTTTTCTAGTTTGATTCAGGTTAATCATATTCATCTAATTGTTATATAGTTTACAGCAAATATGTTTAAATCCATGCTTTCAAAATGATGTGGAAAACCAACTAGACATCATATGGTTCTTGCTGGTGAAACACTACCACAAAAACAAAGTGGTTGTTTTGCACTCCCCTTAGAAAAACTGAATGTTAATATGATCAAACCTTTAGAAACTTACAATCACAATGTAACTGCTCACAAAACTCAGACTGGAAAATCTATTGGACAAATAACCTGGTGCTACTGCTACTACTACTACAATAGCAGTAGTGTTTAATAGTAATAATAAATGGAATGAGGGCTGTGGATTTAGCTCAGTAGCAGTGCTCTTGCCTTGTAAGTGCAAGGCCCTGAGTTCCATCCCTGGTACCAAAAAAAAAAAAAGGAAGGAAGGAAGGAAGGAGAAACTAAGGATGAAAAGAGATTTAAAAGATATATTAACCAACTGTGAATTGGGAATTTTATTGAATCCTGATCTGTTACGATATGTATATGTTACACATGTTACAATAATGTATAATTTTAGGTATACTGTATTATATACTAAATAATTTGTCATATTCCTTCATGGTCATCTATGAGTGCCTCTTTGAGTCTGTCTTACCATCTAAAAAGTAAAATGAAACACTCATTGATAGACTTCTTGGAAAATTATTTGTTTTCTATTTCTTTTTTCCTTTTGTTTGTTTTTTTTGAGACAGAGTCTCACTATGTGGTTGAGTCTGACCTGGAACTCACTATGTAGCCCAGGCTGGTCTTGAACTCACAGTGATCCTTCTGCCCCAGCCTCCTGAGTGCTGGGATTACAGGCCTGCGCCACCATGCCCGACTTTTAAAACTTTTTTTTTTTTTTGGTTTGTTTTCTATTTCTGACATTTCACAATTGAGAAATAGTTCTGATTGTTATAATCTCCTTATTTAATTTGTTCTTGCTTTATTTTACTGTTTGTTGCAATGAATTGGGAAATGAAGAAAAGACATCAATAAAACCACTTATTATTTCTAAAAAAAGTGTTGAGACATTTTATGACAGAAGAAAACTGGAAATGTGAACACTGATTATATATGTGGTGATATTAAGGAATGTCTCTTTTTGGTATTATAATGATGTTTTAAATATTTTTTGAAGAAAAAAGCCTTAAAAAGATTTAAAATCTTCACAGATGAAATTACATGACCCTGGAACTCATTCCAGAATAGTAAAGGCAGTGATCAGGGATAAGGGTGTAGATGGAATAGGATTGCCATCGTTGAAACCGAGTGATGGATACATGAAAAGATCACATTATTCTGTCTACTTTTGTGTATGTTTGAAAGATTCCATAATTAAAAACTGAAAAGAAGAAAAAGATTCAGGATTTTTTCTAATTTCTGTGTGATTTAGGTATGAAGCATCAGTATTCATATGTAGAGAAGAAAAATCCGATTTTTCAGGAGAAAAAAAAGTTAGAAAGAAAAGTTTGCAAGTTAATCTGCATAGTAAAAGAACAGAGGTAAATAAAGATTTGGAAATTTTCCCTTTACCTTAGCTGTTGTCCTTAGTCCTCAAACATACTTGTACATTTTGGTTCAAGTATTGAAATGTCACTATTTAAATTTTTTTTACATTTTCACTTAAAAATTTTTTATGATGCTGGAAATTAGAGACCTGTATATGTTAGGCAAGCACTGTACCACTGACCTACATCTCCAAAAATGTGACTATTTTAACTTTAAATATTACTTCTTCCTCTTCTCTTCTTGAGCCTTCTTTTTCCTTTTTTTGTGTATGTATGTATATACATAAGTTGTCTTGCTATGTTTTTTAGTCTAGCTCTGAGTTCCTGGGCTGAACTGATACTCTTGCCTCCGTCTCCTGAGGAGTAGCTGGGAACTACAAACAATCGCCACAGCACCAACTTTCCTTTTTATTTTTTTCTTTTCAGAAAATAGAACAAGGAAACTTTTCAGAAGATCATGCATGTTCTACTTTTCTTTCTCCATTAAGCAAGTTATTTGTTTATTTATTTTTTACAGTGTGCTTTCTCAACATTCTGCTCTTTTAACAATAACATCTCTTTAAGTTTGTGGCAGCATAATGCCAATCTCTGCCTCCATCTCCATATGCGTTTTCTTGTGGCTTCCTTATGTGCCTGTATCTCAGATGTCCCTCTTCCTTACTTTTATAAACATGTCTGTTATGGATACCTTGTCTTGAGGTCCTTGACTTGACCATATCTGCAAAGAATTTTTCTCCAAATAAGGTCACATTCATAAATTCCAGAGATTAGGACATAAGCATATCTTTTTGTGGATCTGCCATTCAGCCTACTACCTTCACTATGCTATATGTAGGTGTATATTTGTATTTATTTCTCTGTCTTGATATTTGTTATGCTTCCTAAATCTGAGGAAAAAAAGTGTCCTTTCTTCATTTCTGGGGAATTTGAATTTATTATCTTTTGGAATATTTCCTCTCCCTCCATCTTTTTTACTGTCCTTTTGGTTCTTTTATCAGAATTATATTAGGCCTTATCATTCTTCTACTTTCTTTCACATTTGCATTAGCCTTCTATCACTATCATGAAATACCCGAGGCAATGAATTTATAGAGAAAAAATTTTTGCGGGCTTCCATTTCTGGAGGTTCCAGTCCAACATGAAGTGGCTCCATTCTCTGGGCTTCGGATGAGGCAGCACATTATGGCATAAGCATGTGGTAGAGCAAACCACTGCCCTCATGAATCAGGAAGCAAAGAGTGAGGCAAAAAGAGAATGAGGTCACATAGTTTCCTTCAGAGGAATGCCCCAAGTGACCTTGAGGATCTCCCACTAGGCCTTATCTCTCCATTGTTCTACTGCCTTCCAATAGGACCAGCCTAGGGACCAGTTCTTTAACATATGGACCTTTGGGGAAGACCACCCGATTCAAACCATAGCAACATTGCTTTACATTTTAAAGTTATTTCTCTTTTTGTATTCTTTTGTAATTTTCTCCTATTTTATAGTTTACTGATTTTCTGTCCAGCTGAATTTAATCTTCAATTTAACCTGTCCCAATTTCAATAATTACTTTTTAACTTCTAAAATTTTATTTGGTGATTCTTAAGTTCTGCCTTTTATGGTGTTCTTTGCTGGTGTTCCATAGTTCTTTCAAGATTAGTAGCAGAAAAATCCAATATTCTGAGTCCTTGGGGGATCTTTTGTTTGTTGTTTTGTGTGATTCTCAGTCACGTGAGCTTATGTCTGTGAGTGTGTAATATGTTTTGTCATTCTTTCATATATAGTTGATCTACATCTGTGGGAATCTCATGATCAGTCTGTTCTCCTTTAGAAGAATTTAACAAGAATTTGTATTTGATTCCCGGTACAAAACAAAACAAAAAAACAGCAAAAAATAGTTTGTATTTGCTTCTTTCTTAAAAAATTTTTTTTCTCTCATTGAGTTTATTGGTACATTTTAGGTATACAGTACAGTTACATTCATCGTTGGGATCATGTACCTCAGGTCTTGATTCTCATTTTTTCCCCTTGTCTCTTCCCTCCCTTAACCCCCTCCCTCCCCCCTTCCCTATTTGCAAATACTTTATTTCCATTTTTTCATTTTCTCATTTTTTTTCTTTTCCCTTATTACCTTTCCCCTACCCTTCCCACTTTCCCTACACCTTTAGCCCTTTTCTTCCTATTTCACATTGTCAGTTATATCATTAGGATCTTATGATCTTTCTTGTATTTCATATGTTACAAATCTGGAGACCACTTTTTATTGTGCTACCGAATTGAACCCAGAGCATTCACATTGTGCTACATCCCCAGCCCATTTTTACTTTTTATTTTCAGACCTGGTCTATGTCAGTAAGTTGTCCAGGCAGCGTTCAAACTTGTAACCTTCCTGCCTCATCCTCCTATAGTGCTGGGATTATAGGCATGGACCACCACAATGGGACCACTTTAACTGAATTTCTTTGGTTTCTGTTTTTTCTGGCCTATTTATTTAGTGTAGATTTGAATTTAGGACTCATGAGCTTAAGATATGGTTCCTTCTAAATAGAAATAATCTTTTTTTTTTTTTAATTTCTAGCTTGGAGTTGAGAAAGAGAGACACTTTACATGTTCTTTCAGTGGGGCTAAGTTTTTTCCCCTATTTACCCACTCTTGCTGAGAACATTAATTTTTGAAGATTCTGGCTTTACTTGAGTTCTCAGTACTAATTTCGGTTAATTTGTTATGGTTTGAGAATTTTCTCTGCACAAACTGCATAGTCTTTAAAACTAAAGGCTCTAGGTTCCATGTAAAATTGAAGACACCTGTAGTTAGAGTTCTCATCTTTTTGTTATTTTTATTATGTATTTTAGTTACTACATGTTTGCAGTACATAATCATTACATTAATCATGGGGAGTTTGTACATGTAATAACACATTTTAATTCTTTTTTGAGTTTTTCCCCTTTCTTCCCTCCCTGCTCCTTCCAACTCTTGATCACCTTCCCATTTGAAAAAGCTCTATTTCCATTTGTTTCTTTGATTCTCTCCTTTTAAAATCTTTTTCCCCTTACTTCTCTCCCTGCTGCTTCTCTTGTGTTCCCCTTCCCATTTGAAAAAGATCTCCTTAAAGTGGTATTCTTCTGTCCACCTAGCTATTTGTCTCTTTTGAATCATGTTTATATATGTAATGTTAAGTTTAATGTTACTTTACTCAATCATAAGGATAATTTAGAATAAAATTACTTGTATCATTTAAATAACTGTATATTTAGGCTCTCCACATAAATTTACACCTAATCTTAGCCAAAAGGACAAGAAGCATTAAGTTCTCCATATAATTTTGCATATATAGTTAAAGCTGATATACACAGCCAGGTCTGGTGGTTGTCATTTTCTCAAAGTGCTATAGGTTACAGTATTTTCCTATGAAATCTATTACTACAAATTTATAAGAACATTAATTGGGAGATGATTAGTTGCATATTTAAGAAGAACAAGTGTACATAAAATGCAGAGGTTTATGGTCCAAGAATGCTGTAGTAAAAAGGCTGATCTCAGGCACTAACATACTTACATTGGGCTCTAGGTTACCTTTCCCACTTTGAGGCTGCCAAAGGAGATGACTAGGAAAGAAAACATTTTAGGCAACTTGCCAAACCAGTACAACATTCGCAAGACTTCATTACCTCTTCGTACACCTTCTTCAGTTATTCGGTATTTAAATCATTGATTTTGTTCCTTGAATATTGAATGTTGGGTTCAAATTTAAGGTTTTTTTTTCTCTCAGATTATCTATTCCACATATCAAGTGTCTAATAGTTTGTGCAAATTAAGAGACTATAATCTTAGGGAGAATCATGTAAGAGAATTGTACTTGAGATTGGAAGACTAGATCAAGTCCTAATTGATCTCACATCCTATTGTAAGATTCACTTTGCATCTCTGGGCCTTATTTTCCACTTCCGTACAAGACTCTTGTACTATGTGGACTCTTAAAATTTATTCCCATGATAGCATCATATGATTTCAGTTATTTACATATTATAGGATTAAATGAATCTTTCCCAGATAATTTTACTGAAAGGCAATGAAATCTGGGATTATTTGGCTGCTTAAAGATGTTTATGTGTACCTTATTATAATAACTTTAAAAATATTTTGTCTTCTATTAAGAGTAGGAAAAATTGGACAACAGCCAAAGACTAGTGGGTCATGGGAACTATGTATTTTCTAGGGTAAATTCTATAGAGGTATATTGTTTAAAAGAAACAAAGTGAGAATTGTAGGGTGAAGAATATAGAGCTCTTTATCAATTGAAAGCTTTTAAAGATAGGTTCTTATGGGGGCTGGAGATTTTGCTCAGTGGTTCTGCCACCTGCCTCAAAAGCGCAAGGTCCTGAGTTCTCTCCCAGGTACAAAAAAAAAAGAGAAAGGTTCTTAATGAATTCCAGATTATTGGTAGGTTTGCTGGTATTTTTAAGTGGTATTTTATATATTTTCTTTATTGCTTTGTAATGTGGCTGTTTCTTTGACAGGAGAAAGGAAATGCTTTCTAACCTCTACCTCACATTATATGAAGAACTACCCCAAGGATGTTTATATTCACAAGAATTAAGTGGTAATAAGACAGTTTAGAATTTATTGAATATATTTCCTGATTATGTGCTTTTTCCATAGTTAGTGTCTCTTTCTCTGCTCCTTGTGGCTTATACTACTAGTTAATATTACATGATATAGGAAATGTTTCAGGCCATGAGACAGCAACAGCAAATAGTTTGGTCCATGAATATCTTTTGCTGTATTATATATAGGATGGGAAAATATTATATATGGGAAAATTACATATATATCTATTTAGTTAAGTTTAATTTTTTTTTAACAAATGGGATTACATAAGATGTGTAAATTAGTAAGCATTATAATAACTAGTTTCACTGGAATATAGTCCTTGGTACCTTAATTTTAAGGCTTAGTGATCCTTTACTTTTTGACACTGACCTTTACAACTAGGGCTTCTCCTATATATTTGTGAAGTAATTTGCCATTTTTTCTTTCTTAAATCTAATCATCACTATCTTTAGTGTTCAAATGGACTACTCTAGCTTCATACTTTTCAAAACTAATTATTTTACTTTTACTTTTATTTTTATAACCAGCACTGATGTCCACAGCTTTTTTTTTTTTTTTTTTTTTTTTTTTTTTTTTTTATGAGACTGACCTGGAACTCAGTATGTAGCCCAGGCTGGTCTCGAACTCACAGCGATCCTCCTGCCTCAGCCTCCCAAGTGCTGGGATTACAGGCGTGCACCACCACGCCTGGCCACATTTTGAATATTGTCATCATGTTGAAATATCAGACTTTCAAGTCATATTCTCTATTCATCTCTTACCCTTCTGGCTTTCTTCATTTACATTTTTATTTCCTTGACCTCCCCATTTGGTTGGTGATGCTATGATTTTTATCTTCAGCCACCTTTACCACAGCTGAGATTCTCTTTAAGATTTGGTCAGATGTCTCTCCTGTTTCTTTGATTCCTTTTCCAAACCTTCATTATTTTCTTCAAATCCTCAACCCTCTCTCCCTTCTTTAATGATATTAGTTTTTTTCACATTTGCCAGTAGAACTTATTAACAACAGATCTTTTAAAAAATTAACATTATTGGTATATTTTAGATATACGTAATAATAATGTTCATCATATGGAATTTGTACCTGATATTATCTTGGTTCTTTTTTCCCCCTTTTTGTTTCTTTCCCTTCCTTCAACACCTTTTCCCCTCTTTATTTACAAAAGCCTTATTTCCATTTTCCTTCTGTTCTCTTTTTTTTCTTTTCCCTTTCTTTCTTTCCCCCTCCTCCCTCCTTTATTTCCCTTCCCATTTGAACATTTTCTGTCTATTTCACAATATCTGTTACACATTTTGGTCCTTACTTAAACTTTTGGTTTCTCACACCAGAGAAACCATGCAATATTTCAACAGGCATATCTGATGTATTTCACTTAAGAGGATGGTGTCAAAGTACATCTATTTACCTAGACATGTCTGAAGTTTATTTTTCTTTATGGCTGAATAGTTCTTCATCATATAAAAAAAACCCTACATCTTTATCCATTCATTGGTTGATGGGCATTTGGGCTGTTTCCAAGATTTAGCTGTTCCAAACTGTGCTACTGTAAACATGGGTGTGCATATATTGCTGTGGCTTGATGCTTTTAATTCTTTTGGGAAAATGCCAAGAAGAACAACTGGGTCAAATGGAACCTCTTCTTTTAGTTTTTTGAGGAATCTCAACACTGATTTCCACAGTGGCTGCACCAGTCTATAGTCCCAACCACAGTCCTGCCAGGATTTGTTATTGGTTGATTACTTGATGATAGCCGTTCTTTCTGGAGTGAGATGGAATCTCAATGTTGTTTTACTGTGAATCTCTCAAATGACTAGTGATGCTGAATTTTTTTCATATTTCCATTTCTACTTTCTTGTCTGAGAAGTATCTGTTCATTTCAGAAGCCTATTTTTCGATTGGATCTTTAAATTTAGGGATCTGATTTTTTTGAGATCTTTATATGTTCTAGATATTAGTCCTTTAAGGAACAGCTGGCGAAATATTTTTCGCACTCTGTGAATTATCTCTTCATTTTGTTGGTGGTTCTTTTTGCTGTGCAGAGGCTTTTTAGTAAGATGAGATTCCAGTTGTTGATTCTTTTATTCCCTGTGTGATTGAGGTTTTGTTCATAAAGTGTTTGCCTACACCTGTGCCTTCAAGAGTTCTACCTATTCTATCTTCCAGCAGATTTAGTATTTCTTTTTTAATATTTGGATATTTGATCATTTTTTATTTTAGTTTATTGCATGGTGAGAGACATGGATCTACTTTTGGTCTTTAGCATGTGGAAAGCCAACTTTTCCAAAACCATTTATTAAAGAGGCTTTCTTCCCATGAATGTGTTGGTCCCTTTGCCCAAGGAGAAGTGGCTGAATGTGTTTGGAGTTGCTTCTGCATCTTCTAATCTGTTCCATTGATTCCTGAGTCTATTTATTTGCCTGTTCCATGATATTTTTTTTAAATCAGTGTAGCTTTGTAGTATAATTTCAAGTCATGGATTGTGAGGCCTCCTGCCTTGCTTTTGTTGCCCAGAGTTGCTTTTGCTATTCTAGGTCTCTTCTGGTTCCAAATGAATTATTGATTTTTTCTCTAATTTCTTTGTGGTATGCTATTGGTATTTTGATCTGGATTGCATTAAATCTGTATAACAATTTGAGAGTATGGCCATTTTCACTATATTGGTTCTTCCTACCCAAGAACAGTGAATATCTTTCCATTTTCTCATATCTTCTTTCATCTTCTTTTTGAGTATTCTAGTTTTTAATTTAGAGGTCTTCTTCCTTCATTAGATTGATTCTTAAGGATTTCATTTTTTGGATGCTACTATGGAAGGTGTGATTTCCTTAATTTCTCTCTCAGTGAGTTTTATTTGCGTACAGAAATGCTATTTATTTATTTATTTATTTATTTATTTATTTGGTTTTTTGAGACAGGGTCTCACTATGTAGTTGAGACTGATCTGGAACTCACTGTGTAGCCCAGACTGGTCTTGAACTCAAAGCAATCCTCCTGCCTCAGCCCCCTGAGTTCTGGAATTACAAGCATGCACCACCATGCCTGGTGCTATTTATTTTTGAGTGTTGACTTTATATACTATTCTACTAAATTTGGTTATTAAATCTAGAAGTCCTTTGGTGGAGGTTTTGGAGTCTTCTATGTAGAGTATCAAGTCATCACAAAGAATGATAGTTTAGTTTCTTCCCTTACTATTTTTCATTACTGTTTTTATTTTATTTTTTCTCTTGTCTAATTGCTCTGGCTAATGTTTCCAGAACTATATTGAAGAGGAGTAGTGATAGTGGATATCTTTATCTTTTTCCTGATTTTAGAGTGAAAGCTTCAGAGTGAAGGCTTTCAGTCTTCATTTTAAGGTAAAAGCTTTCAGTTTTTGCTGTTGGCTTTTGGTTTGTCATAGTTGGTTTTCATCAGATTGAGATAAAGACCATCTGTAGGGTTTTTAAAAATCACGAATGGGTGTTGGATTTTGTCAAATGCTTTTTCTGCATTTATTGCAATGATTATGTGGTTCTTGTCTTTGGCTCGTAATATATGTTACATTTATTGATTTGCTCATGTTGAAACATCTCTGCATTCCTGGGATGAATCCTACTTGATAGTGGTATATAATATTTTTGATGATTTGTTACATTCTGTTTGCCAGTATATTATTGAGGATTTTTGTGTCTGTGTTCATTTGGGAGGTTGGCCTGTAGTTCTCTTTTTTGGTTGGGTCTTTCTCTGGTTTTGATATCAGGGAAATACTTGCTTCCAGGAATGATTTTTGGGAATATTGTTTCCTTTTAACTTCATTAAAGAGTTTGAGGAGTAGTGGAATTAGTTCTTCTCTAAATTTCTTGTAGAATTCAGCTGTGAAACAATCAGGACCTGAGCTTTTCTTTGTTGCTAGGTTTTAATTACATCTTCAGTTTCATAATCTCATATTAGGTTATTTAGAATCTTTATATCTTCTTAATTCAGCTTTGATAATTGGTATGTATCTAGAAATCTGTCAATTTATTCTGTTTTCCATCTTTTTAGAATACAGGTTCTCGAAGTAGGTATTGATTATTTTCTGGATTTCTTCAGTATTCATTGTAATTTCACCCTTTTCTTTGCATGGGTTTGAGTCTATCCTTTCCTTTTTTTGACAAGGTTGGATAAGGGTTTGTCACTTTTATTTAATCTTTCACAGAATCAGCTCTTCATTTCATTGATTCTATATATTGTTTTCTTAGTGTCCATTGCATTAATTTTTCTGCTCTGATCCTTATAATTTCCTCCCTTGTACAAGCTTTGGGCTTGACTTGCTTTTCTTTTTCTAGAAATTTGAGGTTTGACATTAGGTTGTTTATTTGAGCTTGCTCTGTTTTCTGATATGGGAATTTACTACTATGAATTTCCCTCTTAGGACTGTTTTCATTGCATCCCATAAGTTCTGGTATATTGTGTTGGCTTTACCATTTAATTGTAGAAAGCTGATTTCTTCTTTAATTTCATCTGTGACCCATTGTTTGTTCAGGAAGGTGTTAGTTCATTTCCATGTTTTTATGAAGTTTTTTTGGTTTCTTTTGCCATTGAGCTCCAATGTCATTGCACTATAGCCTAATAATATGAAGGGGATAATTTCAATTCTTTTGCATTTACATAAGTATGTCTATGAGCTAGTATGTTGTTGGTCTCTCTTGAGGGAGACCAGAGCCCCCAGAGAGCACCAACTTTTAAAGAAAAGAGCCTGGAGATTGAACAGCACTTTATTCCTCCTCTTGGTGATTGACAGTTCTTTGTCTGTGAAAGTAGGTCTTTATACATTTCAAGACAGGCAGTCTGTCACTAAAGTTGTGATCCTTAGTTTACATTTTAACTCCTACAGAAACACCATTGGCATTTTTGCATGTCTCCGGTGCTGTCTACCAAGTCTCACATTAAAGAGTACACCTATCCTTATCAGATAGTACTGAGAAAGGAGGGCTCCATCATTTAACAACTGTGCCCACAGGGTTACTGCAAAC